CACCCGCCCTTAGCCTCCCTCCTCCATCTGTTTTCAACAGTTTAACTGGCTCAGTTCTCATCTACGCCTCAGTGACATTACAGCTAAAACCATTTAAATGGGGCTTGGATGCAAAACGAACAGATGGCATGGTGAATAAACCCCTATATTCTATATGTCTCCCCTTGCACGCATGTATAGGAGGCTAACTATGGAACACAGGTACCCAAGGAGCACCACCAGATGTTTGATAGGCCCACCTGCAGGCCTGCTGTTTGTTGGCAGTAAAATTCATGCTCTGCATATGCTGTAATTATACCACAGGGAAATAAGCTGCTGTTATAATGATGCAGGCTGGACACACAGGGGAGAATATCAAACAAACTTGTTTCCTTAGAGGAAAAAAGATACAGCTATTGTCCTACTCTTGAAGTCAGTTTGACCAGAATAGGAGCAACGTTTGGGCTGCTGATTTTAATTTATTTGAGGTGATCCAGCAGGTGGGGCTGAACACAAAAATCAAAGTTTCTATATCTTTACTGCAGAGCTGGAATCAGAGCATTAAAATTCTGACCTCTAAACTGAGCAAATTATCCAGGAAATTGAGCCATAAAAAGCCTTGCAGTAAAAGTACTGGCTTCACTCCAACAGTGTGCTCTGTTGGCCAAAAAATAAAAAATAAAAAAAAGAGCAAGTTCAGGTAGAAGGAATAAATGTCCCCTTAGTTTTCTCGTCTTTACAAGCTAAACTTGCTCATTTTTGCCCAATTGGAATGCTTTGCCGAGCCGTGGGCTGTAATTAGGCTGCAGGCCTCGAACTCGTGCATTTACAAGATCTATAAAGGCGCAAATTGATTTCCCGTATCAATGCAGGCATTGTTTGACATGACGTGGCTCATGTGTTGTGCAGGTGTGTTTAATAACCGGGGTTACAGCAAACAGGCCCTCGCCTCTCAGGTTACTGCTGAACCCAAGCATTTGCAAAAAGAAAAAAAAAGAAAAAAAAACCTGTTACTGGTCTTTAAGAATCCAAGCAAACCCACCAAAACTGCTGTGAGTCTGTCCCCGAAAGTAGCAAGGCCAAAAACAAACTGCAGCATCATTTATCCCCAGTTCTTGTGCTGATGGGCAAACACAACAGYGCCCACGTTAATGACGGTGACCCCAGCAACCCAGTAAAAGATGAGAACATTGACGTGTTGTTTGTTCAGCGTGAGACCGTGTATAATTTACACTCGCTAATGACTGTGCTCAGAAATACAGGCTGAACGACCACGTCTGTCCCCGACTTGGCTCTTATTTCGTGTAACGCGGTGAATTCATATCCCTGAATGCACGCCAGTAATTCAATTACAATACTAAAAACAAAAAAGAAAGAAAACACACATACACACACGCAGTGTTCTTTCCTGGTCAATGGCGTTGGATAAACAATTCACCATTGGCCGGAGAATCTCCACCCTTACCAAAACAAAAACAAACTGTGGCTGATTCAGCACTGTTGTGTCGCTAMGATCCGAGCAGTCCTGTACTAAAAACACTAGAAGAGGAGTGATGTGAAGAAAGACATATTACCATTGCCATTGGTTGACCTTGACCTTCAAACTCAATCTGGCTGTTAGGGCTGCCCGCCCTCCCCCAGCACCCCTGAGATGTAAAGAGGCTGACGGTTTTGACCCCTGATCCCATTTCTTAACTAGACCGAGGTGCCAAATAACCTTTTGACCCAGGAAGCATTTGCAGGTTGCCTGAGCGGCCTCAGATTTAGCAGTGATTGACGGGTCCACGCTGTTTTGCTGCTTCTTCCAATACGGTTATTCATCTGTTTACGAGATAAACAACCCATCAAAGCCGTTGTTTCTTTTGGGCCAGAGTGTGACGTCTGATAAATATTCTATTGTACTCTGTTGGCGCATTCACATGCTGGACAGATACAGAATAAATTTCCCTTAATAAAAGAACACTTTGCATGGAAATGAATGTATGAATTCAGTGGATAGATGTTATTAGATCAGATGGAGGTCTATGTAAATGAACCATATGCAGATCTGACACGGGGTGCAAATCACATGAAATACTATGAGCAGTGGATCAAGACAGGAATAAATCTGCCACATTTCAAGAGGCGGCTTGTGTTCTCTGACATAACTCTTAATCCACTCTCTAAATATATTTCTGACAATGAGATAGGAAAAGAAAAAAAAGCCTTGAGATGTTTTAATTTTGCTCGTTGTAACGTAGTCCATTTCATTACAGCCGACCCAGGGGAATCTGAGGTTACCATCTGGCCACTGGCCACCATTACTGATTCTTGTTTTAATATGCAAATGGACCTGTTTTAGAACCTTAAAGTAATCACAAATGTACCCTGACTGAATAGACTAAATAAGAGGAGGACCGTGTGCACACATGATGTGCCACTGCTTTCTTGCAGACGGACAAAGACCAACCAGAAATTAATGTTCAAGATCAGGTTTGAATGACTTTGTTTAAATTACAGGTTCTGACATGCAAAGGCTACGCTACTTTTTAACAATAATACAGAAACAGAAATAATGGAATTGATCTGAAACAATAAAATGGTATCTTATTACAAGCTGTTGTCACTGCACAAGTCGTCCCAACATTTTCTTGCCTCTCTGGGTAAAAACAAGGCATGAGACAGATTGGCCCAGAGGCAGGAAAGCCACCTTTCAGTCAGCAGTTTGAGAGTTCAACCCCAAGCTTTTGTAGTAGTAGAAATGTCTGTGAGAGAATCTAAGAAAGTGCAATATACATCACCTAAAATAGAGTATATGTTGCGCAAAAAGAAAGGAAATGTGTGTTTAATAGATTATTTATTTTTTGTAACAATGCTTCTTTGCAATAAATGTCATAGCGGGCATCTGATTGGCAGCACCTGTGTACCAGAAACTGAAAAGTCAATAACAACAGCAAAATAAGCTGTTYTGTAAAGATTTGGCAATTTTTTTCATGTGCATAATCCATATACTCAGCTCTACTGCTCATCCCACAAATGTGTGTTCCTTACAAACGTGACATCATTTAAAAGGGAAATTAACAGACTTTCCAACAGTATAAGACTTATTACCAAGAAGCATTGTTACGACAAAGACATAATCTACCAAACACAAATGTCCTTACTTTTTGTGCTTAAAATATATATATA